TTTCTCTTGAATGTTTTACCATTTAAATTGGTCTCATCTATACATTGCCAAGATTTAAAATTTAACCTGTAATTATTTCCTTGAGATAATTTTGTTAATTCAGTTATTAATTGTATTTTATACATTTCTTGATATTCCACTGATGGGATTGCAATCTCAAAATTCTCAATAATAACTTTTCCAACATCAGGTGCTACAGAAGTCGAAGAAATCCATCTATATAATGCATCATCGTCTTTAGCTCTCTTAAAATTTATTTTAATTCCTCCTTTAAAAATTGGATATTTAATATATTTAAAAAAACCTAAACATAGGACAAATTCCCAACAGCTTCGAATCTTCTCCCACCTGTAAATATTGATTGAAATCCAGAATTAATTGTTGGTCCATTTTCATCTAAAGAATAACCAACACATCCTTTTATTATGCTTGATCTGCCAACGTTTTCAATTTGATCAATGTTCCATTTTATTGTTACTTCAATTTCTGAAAATAAAAATACAACAAAATTATCATCTACTTGAACATTACTATAAGCTTCATATTCAGTATTGTTATTTTTTAAATATTTTCCACTAATATAATATTTTGCATGTTTAATATTGAGAAAACTATCAGTACCTTCTATTTCAAAGGTTATAACACCACCATCTCTGTTAAAATTTGTTACTGATGTTGCTTCATATGTTTTATATTGTGATCGAATAATATGATCATCATATTTATTAAAAATAAATTCCATTTATTATGGAAAAGATAAAAAAAATAAAAAAGTTTTTTTTATAATTTTTAATAATATCCAAACACAAATATCCACAAATAGGTGGATCATTATAGTCTTAAAATCTTCTAGATGAGTTTTTAAGATTATTTTCTCCTGAATATTTTACTAATTCTTTTGGTGGATTAGCATTACCATAAGAATCAAAATAAATTTTTAAATTTTCATGTTTTATCTTTGCAACCCAATGTGATTCTTTTTGATCAGAATTATTTAAATTAACAATATCTTTTCTTCTTTTTAATTCCAGATCCAACTTGTAGAGTTTTAACATTATTGACAATTTTTTCCATTTCTTTATTATGTCTTTCTTGTTTTTTTTCCGCTGCTATCTTATGTTTTCTTTCTATAATAGTATTTGCAATCGAACTTNTTCCCCCAGCTTATGCACTTGCAGCTCCTATTCCAGCAAAAAGAAGTGGAAGAAATCCACCTTGTTTAATTTGTTCATATTTTAATTCTAACCTCGATCCTTTTTTTTTTCTTTCTTAGATTTGTTTAATTTTTTTATTTGTGTTTCAGTTAAATTAAACTTTTGATTTCCTGTTCCAATTTGGTGTTTTGATAGTTGAATTGTTACATCTATTTTTTTTATTATGTGCAGGTTTAATTTTTTTCAATTGTGCATCGTTTAAATTAAGATTCATTTATTACACAAAATATTAATTTTTTTTATTTAAATAAGACCCATTCCTAATTTTCTTTTTACTTTCATTATATTACTAGTTGCAAAAGCTGTTGTTTTTTCACCTAAAGATGTTTCAGGATTTTTGTATATATCTTTTGCAATATTTTCTAAAATTAAATCGGCTTTATGTCTAGATTTGATATCTTTATGTTTTTCATAGTAAAAATCATGTTCCATCGCAGCTTCATCTAATTTGTTTATTGGTTTATTAGATTTTGTAAATGGTGCGAAATAATTATAACTAAGCCAGTGAATTTCAGGCATAACTTTATTGTTTAAAAAATCATTAACAAGTCCAGATCCTTTAATTACCTTTCTTGGTAAACTTGAGACAAAAGAATTTAAGTTTTCAATAGCTTTTGATGTATCAATTAATTTCTCCATTTCTTTAGTTACAAAATCTATAATACTTAATTTTTCATTATGGAAATTATTATTAACAGCTTCTTCTTCTGCAGCAATAAAATATAATCTTTTTAACAATTCGTTTAAATTATCAATGTATTTATATTGAATTGGGTTTTCTACATAATTTATTAAACCAGATCCTTCATGCAAAGTTTGTAATTTCTTATTTTCACTAATTTTATTCCAAATAGGACGAATCAGATTCATGTATTTATCGCCTTTACTTGATTTTACTTTTTTTGTATTTTTATTATTATTATGATATAATGAGTCTGTTTCTATTAATATATTTCATAATTCTTAATATCATCATCAGAATATGATGTTTTATCTATATTTTTATTATATATAAATAATCTCCATAATCCTTGTGTTCTTTTATAAGTTTGTTTGTTTAAAATAATATCGTTATCTTTAATATGAATCTCATTTTTACCTACCATATGCATATTTGTTTCATGATTATGAAAAATCCTAAATTTATCATCTGATAATTTGGGTAAATAATGAGCTGCAATAACTCCTATTTTGTTGTTAATAATTGAATTTTTAATTTCTGTTTCTAAGTCTCTATTTCGTATCATGTTTTGCTGTTTAGTAATAAAATCTGATGTTTGTGTTAACGGTTTCACAAGAACTAAAAATATTTTAATATCATCATCGGTTTTTCTGACAGCTTCTTCAACATTCTTTAATCCGTTGGTAATAGGTTCAAAAGCTTTTTGTTTTTCTATTTCATCATTTAGTCTTTTCTCTGCTTCATTTCTATATATTTTTCACAATTTTTTTTCAAGATTAATTTTTTCATTAATCTCTGCTTCTGTTGGTTCTTTTTCTCTTCAAAATGTACTTTTTTTTGTATTTTATTAGATTTTTTTAAGTTTAATCCACTTTTAATTTTTCTCTTAAGATTGTTTTGAATTTGTTCAAGTGTTCTCATTTATTGTAGAAAAATATATTTTTTTCAATAAATTTTCATTAACTGATATTTGTTATTCAATATTTAACATTCAACGATTAACGGTTTACGTTCAATAGTGAATTGAGGGTTGTTAAAAATAAATAAAAGATCTTCTTCATAGTGAAAATTAACGTTTTCTTTGTGATTGGATATGGATTTTTCTACTATATTGCAGTGTAATTCTAAGGGAATATTGGATGGTTTACTTACTAGATAAATTCCAATTTTTGAAAAATTATCAAACTTAATCCCTAGATTATCACAAAGGATATTATCAACATAAAATTATTTTCATTACTTTTAATTTCAATTAAATTATTATCAGAAACTTTTATGTTCATTTTGAAAATATTATTTAATTGTTCAATAGTGTAATTTGATCTATGAATATTCATAGTTAAACCATTATCAAAATATATATTTCCTTCTATGTTACTTAAATATTTTACATTATATAAATTTGGTGTTTTTTCAGCAGATTTAGTAAAAAATGTTTTTCCAGTCTCAATATCTTCTTGAGTAAGCCATCTATAACCGAATAATATTGAATATTTTGTAACATTGCTATCATTTATGTTATATTCAAAACCTAGACAATCAGATAAATATGAATCAAACCCAATATTAAATGGAGAAGATATTTTTAATAATCCGTTTTCAAGTGTAACTTTTGTGGTTTTATTTAGACGTTTTTCTGGGTAACTACTAAATATGTTTTCAAGAGATTTTAACGAATACGATCCAACTCTTAATATACTCGTTCGTATATGTCCGTTTCTCCCAATAACAAATTTACATTTTTGATTAATTTGTATAATCTCATCTTCCAGATTAAGTAATATAAATTATAATGGAAAATATCCAGCTATAGTATTTTTCATTGAGTTAAAATCGAGTAAAAAGATAGTGCAGAAATTGATAAATAGGACGACGTTCAAGCATTATACAACCTATATCTGCGTGCTGTATCGCTGGAGAACAAAATTATACATTTTTGCAAACCGATTTATGTAGGGTTAATCTGTGCTGTACATCTTCATGACCAAGATGTATGACTACCATTACAATGTTATGAGGAAGCATTCCAAAAATTCAATCACTTTGATGTGTACCGATAAAATTGAATTATTATCAGTATTCATTTTTTTTATTATACATATAATATTATATTGTTTTTCATATTTGTGTGTGTATAACGGCGAGAGATTTCTACAAGAACTTGTTAAGTACACAGGGCTCTTGGAGTGTACGGATACAGCAAACTTGCCCAGAGACCCCTGTTACAATGTTGCAAAAAGGAAAAGATACCGGAAAAAATAACATACAATAGCATAGAGAAACCACAACATATAGAAAGACAGCGAATAAATTGTAAATAAATATTTGTAAATNTCACTTTTTTTATTATACATATAATATTATATTGTTTTTCATATTTGTATGTGTATAATATTACGGCGAGAGATTTCTACAAGAACTTGTTAAGTACACCAGTGCTCTTGGAGTGTACGGATACAGCAAACTTGCCCAGAGACCACTATTACAATGTTGCAAAGAGGAAAAGATACCAGAAAAAAAAAACACACAATAGCATAGAGAAACCACAACATATAGAAAGACAGCGAATAAATTGTAAATAAATGTTTGTAAATTATGTATTCATATATATATATATATATATATATATATATACATTTGTAAAAAATGTATGTATGGACACATATTTTTGTACATACCGGAAAAAATAACATACAATAGCATAGAGAAACCACAACATATAGAAAGACAGCGAATAAATTGTAAATAAATGTTTGTAAATTATGTATACATACATATATATATATACATTTGTGAAAACTGTATGTATGGACACATATTTTTGTACATATTTGTAAAAACCATGGGACTATGAATTTTTCAAAAGTCTAAACTCAGTAAAAATATAAAACATTTTATATACTGATTGATGCGAAGAAAATTAAGATTTTACAAAGATCTATTTTCCTTTTTTTTTTTTTAAACAACTTTTCTATCAAAAATCTTGCTCCGATTTACAATGATAGCACTTCAGTTTTGAGTTGTTTGCAAATAGTTATAATATTGGTGGTTTTCTCTATACTAGTAGAACCTCAGAATAGACAAAAAAAACTTCAAAAGCAAGCATATAAAATTAGCCGCTGTATGGAAATTGTAATGTTATTGCATTATCATTTGCTATCCACATGTTTTGTTTCAGTACTGTCTTCAAATTCGATATGAGTAAAATCATGTTTTTTCGTGTAATGTCATTGTGGTAGTAAGCAAGTGTTTTGTATTACACATGTTTCCCTCTTTGAATATTCACATAATAAAATGGATTTAACATTATTTAAATCAAACTTAAGTTTAAATTTTAAAAATCTCTGCATTTTGTATTTATGTATAGATACATAGTGCCTACTTATTTTCAATTAACATGAATAGAAAACTTGGAGCGATAAAAATTCTCAAAAATTTGAAACGTAACTAACCTAATACAGAGATACTAGTGAAGCAACTTTGAAATCTTTAAATTTAATGACCAAATTCTGTTCAGGTTAGTTCAATGTTACCATAGTAGCTAGAGTTATTAGCTTAATCCAGAACTGGAAAATGCATACTTTGAAATTTGATATTGTTTAATATTCAAAGTAGTGTTGTGGAGATTTGATATTTAATATCATAATATAAAATAATGAACTAATAACTGTTATTAAAAATTATAATTCTATATTCAAGTACTATGAATGTTATAATGTTTTCTTTATTCCATCATATTAATGATATACAGAAACGAAACTAGTTTTAAATATCTATGAGTTTGAAGAGATTATCTCAACAATTCACAGATGTCCCTAAACATCTAATGAGAGATTAAAGAAGTCTCAGGAAAACAGTGAAGCCATGAGAGTTGGAAATAATGTCCGCTAACTAGTATGTTAGTGCCTACACATAATAAGCAATTTCATAATGAATAGGCACATTTCCGGTATGCAGTTGTTATCTACCCATGCTTAAACTTGATGCTATGTCTTGAAACGTTCGACTATCCAATTTAACACTAAAAACACTCGAAAAGGGATTTTTTCAGGAAAGTGATTTATAAATTCAACGAATATAGGTAAATATAAAACATGAAATAAATTAGGTATGAATAAAATCCTGGATTAAACCTTACCTAACATTGCCTAATATTATATAGATATAAAAACATGAACTAATTACAATAAGTCTACTTGATTTATTTTAGAACTGGATATGTTAATCCAAATTTGCTGTTCTAAAAACGAAATAAAAGATATTTAATACTCAATAATTTAACTAATTTTCATTGTATTATTAAATCGAAATTTTTTTGAAAAAAGAAAATAATGGTGTAGTTAACTGCCTATAGATTATTTTTGAGTTGTTGCAGTCTTGAACTGGATTGCCAATATAGTCTAACACAATTTTTTTTCCAAGTACTAAACACGTTGCATATATTATAATTTTTTGATTTAAAGAGAAGGCATAATAATAAATTTTGTTAAGAAATAATATATAGCATTCAATAATTTATTTTCATAAAATTATACAATGCAATTTATTTATTTTTTTAAAACATGTATTTATGCAAACTACGATCAACAAATATATTAATGTTTTTAGGTTGTTGTGTGTGATTTCGTCTGAAAATCGTTGATCATTGCAACTATCTTGTAATCTATATGTCTTCACTAACTTGAAATCTGAATCCAAAACACCTGAAAATATGCATCATTATAGGCCAATCAATTTGAATTATAAGTTATTTCTGTTAAACAGATTGGAATTAATAACTAAAGACTGCAAAAAAAGAATCTAAAACATTAAATAAGTACTTAGGTTTAAAATGATAAATTAAAACACTAATTAAGACTAAGAATATTGATAAAACAGTTCTGTTAGATAAGTACATTTTGGAAATTTCTTGTTGTTGAACAAACACTAATAAGATTTAGGTGTAAATGTAGCAAGTGAGTTGCGTAAAAAGGAAGTTTATAACACACTTAATATGTATTGGTCATCTATAAAGAAATTTGGTTTGATCAGAAACTATACTTCTGTACATAGATCGTTCGTTTTTGAACTTTTAGTTTTGACAACACAAAATTATAATAGGAACAACGTAAAAGAGGAACTTATGTAACTAGATAATGAATAGTAAAAAATGGGACTTGCCTTTAATAGGTACTTATATATTCCAAAAAAATGTTAATATATGCAAATTTCCTTGTAAAATAATATGAGGGTTTAAAGTTACTTTACATTACATTTTAATATTATCTCGTATATAACGTATNCTAACTTGAAATCTGAATCAATAACACCTGAAAATATACATTATTATAGGCCAATCAATTTGAATTATAAGTTTTTTCTGTTAAACAGATTGGTATTAATAACTAAAGACTGCAAAAAAAGAATCTAAAACATTAAATAAGTACTTAGGTTTAAAATGATAAATAATGATAATAGTTAAATCCAAAAGTAAATCACGGCTAAGTAAGGTTCGAAACGCAACAATTATTCAATTAAAAACCTATAGAAAAAATTAAAATTAAAGATAAATATATAATTTTTATGTCATATTTTGCAATGTATATTAATAAATGATTAAGTGTTTACATACCTGTAGTGGTCTACATTTTTTCCATCATTATGAAAATGTCATAGTCAGCACAGGTTTCAGGAATGTGTCCTCCATAAGCAGTAAGATCATCGACTGATGGTTTGACCAAGACACTATTACGTGTGAATTTTTCGATCTCCTTGGCGTAATAGTGGCTGGTCACTTTGATCTTCAAATCAGAAAGTGATTCGGGTGGCGAAAATATTGTGCGTATGATAGGCATGATGTGGCAAAATCGTTTTTTTTCGTTGATTATACTTGTGAGGTTACCATGGAAATCATGTATGATACGAACCTCGGGCACTAAGTACGAAGAACGAGCGACTTCTTTGTAGTTGACGAATTTGATCGTTGTGTTTAATTGAAAGTTATAAGTACCATTATTGTCCAAAAGATAGGACAGTACCATCTCACTCTCAGAGTTTGCATGAGAAATATAATTCTCGTTTAAATGAGTATCGTTCTTAATCTCAAAGTTACATTTTATAAATTTATTTCGAACAATCAATAGTTCCATCAGTTCTTTGAAGATTATAATCCCAAGGATAACCATGTAAATGGCTAGGATTATATGGTTTATATACCCACAGATTGATTTTCTCTTCTTCTGGCATTCGGCATGATTGAATGTAAATTGTTCACAGTCTTTCTTGGTTATCGACGGAATGTTGACAACGGTCATGGTTTATAATCGTATATTGAAAGTTCTGTGAAAAATATAACGCTGTGTTAAGCGGTGACGGCGAAGACAAAGGAAACAGCAACAATGGCGGCAGCGACGGGCAAAGAACCAAAAACGACCGTACGGTATGGTGAACAGAGACTATACTGCGGTACGGAGATGGGCAGTAAAAGTGTAAAGTTCACGCTCGTATACCCGGAATCTTTCAGGTAGATAAAAGTAGTGCCAACCAAGGGCGTAATCTGGAGGGTTGCATGGCTACACCCTCTTCGACTAAATTGTAATAGGTATATATTATGCATTTACGACAGATGTTATTTTATTCGAATATTCATATCGANACGACAAAATAATATTTCTCTTTATATAACTGTTGTTATCATCGCCCATCGGGTACATAGGTCGAAAACAATAACGATAACATCACGATCCTCAATTATGCGCGCGCGCGCACACACACAAAAGCCAACAGCTGTTTCTACTCATTCATCTGATATCTGGACGATCGATCGTCTGTAGGAATTCTTCTACAAACCTGCGCACAAGTCTTTCTCAGCTTTCCCTCCAATCTCACGTATTTGTTTCGTTTTTCCAAGTGTTAGTTTTCATTTCGTAATTTTTTTTTTTAAAAGGAGTGTTCACTTGTTTTTTTAAATGTATTCACTTTATTATCCGTTTAAAAACCAATACTTTTGAATTTCCCGTCCCCGGTCGTGGAAAAGTTTATAACACAATTATTCATATGAAAAGTCACGCCAAAACACACGACAGGATTAAATGGCAATGTGCTCTTTGCCCGAAAATGTTTTCACGTAAGGATAACTATGATATTCTTCACGATAAAAATGTTCATCGCGACGGAAGAATCGCCTCGCTCCNATCTCCATATATCATATATAAATGCATATATCAACTGTAAAGTAGGACACAGCCGCTAAAGTAAAGATAACTACGATGGACTTGGTAATACACCGGGATTTATCGAAATCGATTCGACATTCTTCTGCAAAATCGTATCATTCTACGTGAAAAATATTAACAATCATTCAATCTACAGTAAACTACTTCAATCATAACTCTAGGTAAACACATTTAAAAATATATGTTGGACACAAACTTATAATTTTTTTTATTTTGCTGTTTATTTTAGGTTATAATCTGGACGACTGGGGAAGTTGCAGTACACGCTCCTCCACATTAGACATACTTGAAGATTTAGACGACACTTCGCCGATGGGACGGATGTACGAGGTAGACATAGAGTATCCAGAACGTATGCTTGTCATGCAGAACATTGAGTCCATAACAACTTACCGTTTCTACCTAATTATGGAGTGCCATCAGATTCAGAGGTAAATAGATGTATGGCGACATTGAAAGACAAGACTAACTAAATTTTATACTACCATAAAATGAAGCAGGTGATAGCGAACATAAATAGCGATTGTAAATGAGTAAATCATTTTATTTTTATTCATATGGTTTATTTATTATATTTTTTGTATTGTTTATGTTACAAGTGCTCAGAACTATGGAGTTCAAACAATCACCATGGCCGAAGGAATATATTGATTTAAAAACCGATATGAGAAAGAAGGGGACGAAGGAATTTATAAGGTTTTTTATTGATTCATGAACAATGCTGTTTTCTGTAAGTTATTATTATTATTAAAATTATTATGATTTTCTAGATAAAATTATGGAATCAATAAGGCGGAGGATTGACATTGAGCTAGTATCGAGTAAAAAGAGAGTGCAGAAATTGATAAATAGGACGACGTTCAAGCATTATACAACCTACATCTGCGTGCTGTATCGCTGGAGAACAAAATTATATATTTTTGCAAACCGATTTATGTAGGGTTAATCTGTGCTGTACATCTTCATGACCAAGATGTATGACTACCATTACAATGTTATGAGGAAGCATTCCAAAAATTCAATCACTTTGATGTGTACCGATAAAATTGAATTATTATCAGTATTCATTTTTTTTATTATACATATAATATTATATTGTTTTTCATATTTGTGTGTGTATAACGGCGAGAGATTTCTACAAGAACTTGTTAAGTACACAGGGCTCTTGGAGTGTACGGATACAGCAAACTTGCCCAGAGACCCCTGTTACAATGTTGCAAAAAGGAAAAGATACCGGAAAAAATAACATACAATANATTTGTGAAACTGTATTTATGGACACTAACAAAAGACAGTGAAAAAATTTTGTATATATTTGTAAAAACTATGGGACCATGAATTTTTCAAAAGTTTAAACTCAGTAAAAATATAAAACATTTTATATCCTGATTGATGCGAAGAAAATTAAGAATTTACAAAGATCTATTTATTTTTTTTTTTTTGTAAACAACTTTTCTATCAAAAATCTTGCCCTGATTTACAATGATAGAACTTTTTCTAAAAAGAAATATGACTTGGAAGGTCTTAAAGCAGGACATTTTTCGATTTTCCCAGAAGTTTTCTCGACAAATGGGAAAACCGTAGGGAAGAATTGATACAATATTAAACAAATATAATTTAAGTAATTATATGATGCCAATGTAACTATTTTACCATAATATGATATATTATATATGTTGACAAAACAACACAACAACTGAAATCCTCTTGAAATCATTTCTATGTTAACAATGGTTTATCGGTGCTCACAGACATACATTCAATTTCACTTCTACTACCTTTCCTTTCCTTTACAACCTTTGATGAAAAAATTCATCAATCCAATTACTAAAAAAAAAGTACACAGGTAAAATTTTTCTAGAATAATTGAAAAATTCTCCAATAAAATTAATTGTCCACATCTAATATACCCAAATAAACAAAATTATATCAGGTAAAATAAAATTGGGAGAAAATCAGACTGATCCCATTCAAGTTAGTGCTTACCACTGATACTTAATTTTTTGTAAAAAAAAGTCCTTTAATTTAAATTCTTGTTTTTCATTTTCCTTTTTTAAACATTTCCAAATATTTTTACTCTATTTAAATTTCTTTGTAGATTATTATCAAAATTTAAAAATTGCATCAATCAATCTTCTTCAATATAATATACAATTAAAATCTAATTATTTTTAAATACAAAACAAAATAATTATCCTAGATTAATACTAGTTTTTTAAAAATACTTTTAAAATTGTATTCTAATATAGATACAAATAAAACATCATAGTAAAATCAACAAATCCTTTGCTCCGAATCTAAAAATTTACAGTAGATTTTTTGATTATCGAATTATAATGACTAAAAATTTCTCAAATGTTCCTTATTAAATTACTTAATGTAATCAAACTGTGTATTGTTATATTATTTTTATTAAATTTAGAATTATTTATGTTTTGTATATACCTTATTTTATTCAACTTTGTATGATTTAATGTAATTTTATTATGCTGATAATTATTATTAATATGTTTTATAATAATAAAACCTGAATTCATATTTTATTTTAGTTTTATTCATTAGGTAAAATCTGAAGTAAATTATTCATCTATTCTTTCCTTGCGATATTTAAGTATTTAATAAGCATTTAGTTCTTTTAGCATTTAAGCATTTAGCATCTAGTGTTTAAATCACAAAAATTTTTGATCAATTAATTATAAATTGGTATAAAAAAAATTAATAATAATTTGAACATATTTAAAAAACTGCTTGAATATATTTTTGGCGGTTGCTGTGTCATATTTCTTCCCACAGACAATAATACTAGTAGTTTTCCCATCTAGAACCAGGAGTGATGTAATCAATATTACAAAATTTAAAACGATGATTGCATATCTATTCTTATTCTTGTCTATAGAAGGCACCTTAAGATTGGTTCAGAGATGAACTTTGATTGGTTTTTCATTAATGTAAATAACGATCATGGTATTATAGTTATCAATCAACGAATATACTGACTGATCCACTATCACCACAGAACACCACTATCACGTTAATTTTTTATTAATCACTATCTTTTTCACAGTGATGCTACACATATGGCAAACAATAATGGTTAAACCACACTTTACCTAAACCGAGTTAAATTTGATTGTAATACCGGCAATAAGTTAACCTATGGTCCAGTTGATAACCGAAGTTCAGCTAAACTAGAGTTAACCCGAGAATTATAATACCGACTTTGTAGAGTGTGGAGACCTTTTTCTGAGTACGCATCCATATTTGAACAAGTATCAAATGTAGAAGAAAGTGTTTTTTGATAGTTTGACATTTTCCCCCCCAGACCCAAAAGTAATATTTCAATCCAGAAATGGTTCAAGGTTAAGTAAGGAGAAACAATAATTATTTCATTAAGTAACTATATAGGAAAATAAAAATATACATTTTTCTTTTATACCTTTTAATGTGGATTGATAAATGTTGAAATATTTAGAGGTCTGTGGTGGTCTCTTTATACAATTTGAAGGAAATATCGCACCCTAGCGACTATGACAAATCAAAAAGTTATTTTTTCAGGAAATGGAATTTCAAATTTGATCACATTTTAATATTTAAATAAAAAGTAAACTATTTGTTCAATCCGTTTTAAAGTGGTACCAAATTGTATTTATTATTTTACCTATTATTGATATATTCAAAAATTTCAAAACCATAATTATCTTGAGAAAAAATTTGAGTTATGTCAGTTTATATGATATGTTTAGAAAATAAAATACGACTTCGGTCAAACAATAATTTTTGAAGTCGAATTGTTTCAGTTTATATGATTTGATTAGAAAATAAAATATGACTTAAGCCAAACAATTAATTTTAGATTATCATTGAAAATGACACTGAATAAAAATAAAAATAATTATTCGTTACACTGAGTTATAAAAATTGTGGTACAGAGGTGGTATTTTGCCTACAAAGTTCTAACAAGTCACCTTTTTTAGATTTTGAAATTTCTGTCAAACTTCATACTCTTTTGAAAGATTTTGTATTGTGATATTTTAAAAACTACCGCTGTCTTTTAAATCGTTACTATTTCGTAATTACTTGTTTCTTCAAGATATTTATTCACACTATTAGATGTCATTTCTGCCTCGAAAAATTCTCCGTGTAATATAATATTAAAATATTAAACCACTAAACAAAATGAACACGACTCAGACAATAAATTACCTATAAACTACGATTATTCAAAACTAAATCACTAATAATACTGGTGTAATAATGAAATCGGATAAACACGCGCAACCTGATAGCAAAACTGGATAAATTCGGACCTAATAAAACTTGTATAAAGAACAAAGCAAAATACATTCAAGTTATTGTAGATAACATTTAACACTAATCAACTATGATAAAATATCAGCCAATTTATATTAGAAAAAAAAACCCATTGGGTATATAATATTATTATATTATAATTGTTCAAAATAGAAATTATGTCAGTCTTGATGAAATTTTTTTCTCATCCTATATTAACACAAGTTCGTATAACATATACAAAAATACTGCTTGGAGTCTAGTCATTTTAACCATAGATAAAACGGGAAAAAATTATTTTCATGGCATTATTATCTTAAATAGTCCAATTGTTGACTTGTATCAATATAGTCACCGGCGTGCGATATAGTCGGCACAGGTTCTAGAAATGTATCGACCATAAGCAGAAAGATCATTGATAGAGGGTTTGACCAAAATCATACTACGCATAGACTTCTCGAATTCTGTGGAGCTTAATTTAATTTTAGTTGAATAAGGGTTGGTCATTTTTTTTTTTTCAAATCATAACGTGATGAAAACAAAATCGTGCTTGTATTAAGCATGATCAAGTAACATTTTTCTTGGCCATCTACAATACTGGTAATGTTGATAAGTAAATCATGTATGAAGCGCACCATACATGTTGATAGAGAGTCCTCAATATAGTCGTCAAATTTGATCATCGAAGGTAATGGTTGTAATTCTTGTCCATAGGAGAGAACGGCCTAATTTCAGCGTCTGCTTGAAAAATATAATAATTATCACTTGTGGTGTGTCTTCGAACATACATTTTGACTTCCATTCTGGTCTCGATGACCAGTTCCTCGGAGTACATGTAACAAGTAATTATGTACAACAGAATCATAATGAATCAAGAATCATGATTTATAATCGTATTTGAGAAAACTTTGATGAGAAATACAACCATGGGTTAGGCGGTAACATTGAAGGCAAAAAAAACGGCAACAGTGGCTCCCAGGGACGACGGATACAGTGATTATAAACGGTATGATCGTATGAAACTATGAACAATATAAAATCCATAAAATAATCACAGTAAAATCGCAAAACCGAGTAGCGACGACTAGTTGGGTGATAAAAAAATGCAGAGATATGATGTTAGGAACGATATTTGTATAATTTATGGTTTATAACCGTGGCATGCGCTCTTCATATTATTTTACATGTTTGCGTGTGTTATAGATAACTATAGATAGATCTATAACCGTGGTGCAAACACGAAAATAATAAGGAAAGCGTCATGAGAGGCACTAGTATCCAGTCGCCTTTGTTGAACCGCTATCGGTGATCGGCGGTGTGATATTAAAATGTATAGGTAATGCTAGAAGGCTCTCTAGGCTCTCTATGTTATGCGAGTAGGCGCATTAATAGGTACCACGGTTTAAGGTATACAGGTTAGGTTGATAACCGGTGAATTAACAATTTGAATCAGCTGGTACCTCTACTAGCGCACCATACTAGGACAAATGTATAGTTTCTATTACCTATAGTTATGAGATAGGCCACTTCTTTATTAAAGGGCCGCGTTCCGAAATGTGAATAAGAGACAGACTGCTTATACTGCTCTCATTCACACAGCTAGGGGTTTTATTATTAATTAAATTTCACAATTATAACAACTCAATCAACGTATTTGTATTTGAATTTTGTTTATTAAAACAATTTCAAGTAGGTATTTCAATAAAATTTGATATTATTATTATCGTATTTTTCACGAAATTAAAAAGATTAAAGATGATATAAAGGAAGATCGTACCAGGGCTAAATTAACGAAACTTAAATGTTTCAGATGTGAATAAATTCAATTGAATACCTACTATTATTATACCAAATATTATCATTATTATTTAATAGAAATAAAATATTATAGTAATTCCAATATTTTTTATTTTATTTGTCTATCTACATTATTTACATTAAAAGTAGTACTAATTTTAAAAATAAAAACTGTGTTACGTCTTTTTTCGCGGGAAATAATTTTATTTTAAAAGAACGTAACTAAAGATACGTCTGTTTTCTGCGATTACGACAATATTGGGAGTTTATAAAATATTCGATTTCTAAGCTCCTAAATAGGTTTGAGATACTGCCGTTTACATGGGAAAACGAGAAAAAAAACAAAATTAGCAGATAAACCATAGAGTGATATAGAAAGGCCAATATGTATTAAGCCAATATAAAAATACTGAATATCTGAAAGGAATGTAAATGCAGTGTTACTACTTAATCATTTGGAAGTTATTGTAAAATATCATCAATGGACAAATTAGAGGGAAAATCAAATTTATAAAATGTGTGTTTGTTTTGTTCATTATTATAATTATTATTACTATTAAGTATTATTATTATTATTAAGTAAATAAATATTTAAAAAACAGCATAAAAAATGTTCATTCTGCAATAAGACATACAATAGTATTAACAGTTGCACTAGAGTCATATATAAACATTTCTATAATGTACTCTTTATTTAATCATGAGATTATTATTTCTGTAGATATGTTTGAAGATTAAATTTGGATGGAGTGATTTTATATGAATAGCTGATATTTTGAATCTAGATCAAAATATCCAAAATATATAGGTATCTTTAATCCTATATTAATAATAGTATTACAATATAATTATAGTTTAAAAGCAATAATTGTTGAGCTTTATCTACTTTTTGTTAAAATTTAATAATTATTAAAAAAATATATAGGAATATAATATGTATTATATTGTATAATATTGACATATTATCCTTTAATGATTACATGATATTTTCTTGCCTTTAACTGGCCAACCTGTAAATACAGTGACTTTGGGCATCATTTCTCTTTGACATTGGCCTTTTTATATCACGCCTATGCACTTGTCTACACCGGTCGTATACAATTTTGATGATGTTATGGCGGGTTTCGCGCCACATTTCTTCTTCCCGCTGCGCGTCGCTCGCGGCGGACGTCGGCCACGCCCCTCGCCGTCGGCGTTCAACGGTCATCGTCCACAGCTCCGCTCGACTCGACGTCTCGACCGCTCCGCTCGCTCACCGCACCGACACCGTTCGCGAAACATTGTTTTCCGACTCCGAATAATTATTATGTATAATTGTTTTTCTTAACTAATGTTGTTTTTAATTGTTGCGTGCTCGCCTTTTCCTCCGTTAAAAGCCGTCTGCTGGCGATCACTTGTTTTATGTCTTTATTTTGTAAATAAACGTTTCTTTATTACCTTATCATAAACCTCGTGTCTTGGTGTAACCCGCCAAAATGTAATTGTCGCCATTGTTGATATAACCTTAATTTTCACGTTCACGGCTCACCAGTCGTCACCCTTTACGAAGTAACCATTAAATTAGTACATTTTTTCATTTGAAATTCGAATAATTTTTGTGATAAATTTAAATATAATAAGTTGATTATTAAGTTTATTTGTTCCGCGTCAAAAATTCCAGGACATCATTGTATTACCCCCGGTTGTAACTCCAGTTATGATTCTTGCAAAGAAAAATATCATTTTTTCACAGTTCCTAAGGATGATATTAAATTGCAATAATGGACAAAAATAATTCCGAGGAAAAACTTTTTAACAAAACCTCGACAGGTGGTTTGTGAAAGACATTTCTATGAAGAAGAAATTTTAAGGAACCAATTAATGACTGACAAAAATTGGACATTTTTAGCTGAGGTATGTTTTTTATATCTATTAGGTATAAATAGATACCTAATTGATTATTTTATTGTCAATTATTGTTCTCATATCATTGTACCTCCCTATTGGCTAATTTAATATTTACTTGTGAGCACAATCTAATTAAAACAGATACAAATTCAATAGTATAAAGTAAAAATATAAAATGTATAGCAATTGTATTTTCTTGTTATTCTAAAACACTAAACATATTTACATAATTGTAATTGTTATCATTAGGCATTAGCCAGTACTTTTAATAATAAACAAATAAACATATTATTTTAGAATTTAATAATTATCATTTTCCATTTTCAATAAGCTGTACACAAAATTCCAAAATTGAAAGAAGGAGCTATACCATCAATATTTCCAAACTTTCCAAAATACCTATCCAACTCATTAAAACGAATAAAATTACCATTAATTAGAATAAGCTCTCCTAAAAAACAGAAAACCAACAAAAAAAGATCCAAAAATAAATTGTTCATTCAGTTATAAACTATCTATATACATTACTATTACTGATTATATTAATGATTCAATAGGAATTTTCTTATTCTCTAAACGCCAAGAAAATATGAATAGCATTGTTTTTCCAAATAGATAGAGCAGGCATGACATTCATAGAAAGTTGATAATGTTTTCTTTTTTTTATTGTTAAAACAGAAGAAACACTTACAGAAAATTATAGTCCCACTCCTATTTTATATAAAATGTATGCTTAGGAGTAAATTTAAATGTTCAATATTTTTTTATGAATGTATCGGTTAATACAGACTTTTTTGGGTTAAATAGATTAAATTGTAGTAAAGACTTTAAAGAGATTTTAAAAAAATTTGATACTACCTAGTATTATTTGTAAAGGATATAAATTATAAGAACAACTTCTTTATTCTAAAACAATATTTATAGATCCGGCTGTTAATCTTAGAAATATCATGTGTCCCATCATCTTGAACCAAAATAATGACTGTAAATATTGTAGTAAAGTTATACAGACTATCATGCGTAAAAAACCCTTTCCAAAAAAATAATACTACTCCAAAAAGAATTCATATATTATCTAGTCCCAAAGTACTACAACTTAATAAAAATCTCAAATTAACTTTGCAAAAGAAATATTGAGCTCAATTAAAGGCTAAAAAAATAATTTAATATACAAGGTGAAATGACGAAACTGACCTCAATGAATCTTTAAGATAGACTAACAACTATTAAGATACCTAGTAATCAACGGGTTGCCTTATATGAAATTTTATCCACATTACAAGTTCTCAATTTAAAAGGTCACAAATATTCCGAAGATTGGGTTATTTTATGTTTACTATTTCATATGTGTTCACCATGTAGCTATAATTTTATTAGAAATAATGGCATTACCTTGTGTAAGAACCATAAGAAGGTAATACATTAATATTATTTGTTTCAACATTTTTATAAATTAAAATCATGTTAAAGGTACCCATCATCTATCGATACAAAATGTGGATTTGATCCAGTTTCTTCAGTTGTTTTCTCTTCATATAGCACAAAAAGAAGTTCAACACCATGGTTTGCTCATTTTTGATGAAATTTCCACTCGCGAGAGTATTGCAGTTAACTCAAAAAATCTTACATATACAGGTACACAATGAAACACAGATTAAATTAGTATTTTCTCAAATCATTGAACATTTAACAGGTCTAGTCAATTTTGTTGAAGAAGGTAACAGGAAAAACTTGCAATGATAAAGCAAATCATGAATTATTATTTATGTTTATACCATTAAAAGATAATTATGCCTAATTAATTGGTATTTTTGCATCAAAGGGACTGACTAAAGGTGTAGTACTAACTCAGTTAATAATAAAAGCTATCACAGTACTTGAATAAGCAGGGGCATTTATCCATGAAATTGTATGTGACGGGGCAGCACCAAATTGAAAATTTTCGGGGGAGGGAAACAGAAATACATTGAAACCTATTAAAAACAGACAGTCGCGGGACCAAAATAATTGTCCGTTATAGATCTGTGTCCGTTGTAGACAGATTTAAAGAAAAATGATAATTATATATATTATTATTTATTTATTTATTTATTTATTTATTTACATATAGTCAACGGGCAAAAAAAAACATTTAGGTAGGTACTGACTACTGACTTGATTTGTATATCATTCATTTATAGTATTTATATCTATATTATTATTTATTCTAACTTTTAA